TCTTGGATAAAATTTGTTCCGACATGCAGCACTGACTTGTTTGATACTAGTTGTGTTATTGAGGAAAGCTATAACCTCGGATCTCGTTTCGCTTCAGGTCTGTTTCGGTACTTCGTTTTGTATAGATATAATGCGAGAATGCAAGCTCACACAGATAAGTTGTGGCAAATGGGAGAAGCACGGTGATAGCTGTCTACCATGACAAGGTACACATCGTTCGCTTTGCATCAGAAATCACACAGAGACAGTCTGTGAAAAGCTTTATGAAAGGAAGAGTCTTAGGTCATCTCCATACATTTTGTATGCATAGCCGGATACGTTTCTCGGTTCTGCTGTCAGCGCATTACGATAACCAACGATGTAAGATGCTTCCGTAGCGTTTGTTTACAGTCTACGACGAGTGAAGCATGTACGTTTGGGTGTTCAATATTTCGTCTCGCATGTGTTGTAAGTACCTTTTTCTGTCTTTACAGTCCGTATGAATTTTTCCAAATCCCTCTGCATTTTAATAGACACCATGTTCAGAAGAAATTTGTTACACAAGTCACCTTGTGGACAATTACTGGACACTATAAATCCAAAAGGAACATAAATGTTGTTTTATTTCCGCGTCTTACCCACTGGTACAGAGGATCCGGTTGGCACAGTCTTATATTGCATCACATCTGGTAGTACAGAAACATCGTGCGTCTCAGTTGCTGCATGCTCAGAAGGCACACTGGATGGCCCAACTACTACTACATCTGAATTCGACGAAGAATATCCCTGTGAAACATTTAGCAGTATTCCATTCTTCATTCCATGGTTCCTGTTGATGTTACATGTCTAACTATCACAATGGAGATAAAAAATTAAACACAAGAGTCCAAAACACACCAGGAATTTGGTTACTATGATAAGTCGTACTTTGAAAGAAGTATCGTAGTGAAGTATCGTAGTGAAAGAAAGTGACACCCCTTTGTAACGCCGCTGATGTAGTTTCTCTCGTGTTCGCATAATTGGCTGAGCACATTCCTTAAACACAGAAATATCCACGCTTTCCTGCTGAGCTTCCATTAAAACGATCCCGTAAACGGGCCTCCCTTCCGGTTTGCTTATTTTTCGGAGAATAGTAACACTTGAAATGATCGCAAACTTGAGCCCTGTCATGTGGCATACCTCTCGCTCCCACCTCGAGGGATAGAGACTGGGTTATGTGAGCTTGAGCGGACGTAGAATGACCCATCCAGCCACTGCTTATGGCATCACGGTGAAATTAGCACACGACTTTTCTGAACTTCGAAAGCCTCGTTCGCTCGCATTTTAACTCCCAGCTTCATCCTTGGAAGAGGTACGTTTCCATGGGCAATACACAAGGCTATAATGTAAACCGTTAGATTTGATTGAAAAATTTTCACAGCATGTTAGTCATAAATTTGTGACATAGACTGATCGCGTCGATAAAAGTTCCTAATATAATTATGACACTTTGCGAGATCACGCGGATTCCCTGAAAGTAGCCCAGGTCATCATCATCATCATCATTATACATGTCAGCTAGAGATGGTAAAACACCTCCGCTATTGTACCGCAATACATAAAGGAAATACATACATACATACAATACATAAAGGAAAAATAAATATGACAGTTGAATGCCAGCTGAGCTACCAGCAACGGATACGCATCGTTCCGGTAAGCTTCCAGCTAGCTGCTAGGCAAAAAGAAAAAAATATTATGTTTTACCCTAGGAAATGAGATCGTAGATGGATGGGGAGGCTAAAAGGGATGGGGAGGGACAAAGAAACTCACAGCAGGAACGCCACTGAGGTCGGCTCCATGCCATATCAGCAAGTGTATCCAGCCAAACGTGTTCACCTTCTTTTGGACCCCAACCAGGGAGCCGTGAAGCTCCAACTGAGGCCAGCTCCGAAGTGAGGGCCTTCATTCCTCTGGAGCAAGTCATCGCTTGGCCACCTCTCCTCTTCTTCCACCCACATCCCCGGTGAGCAAACAACGCACGTCGAGGGAGTCGGTGGGCTGGCATGCGCAACACGTGGCCCAGCCATCGGAGCCTGGTGAGTGAAATGACGGTGCTGAGCGGTTCATTCCCTTTTCCTAGGCCGTAAATAAGGCGTCGAACACGCTCGTTACTCACGCGGTGTTCCCACCAGATGTGAGCCAAACTGCGAAGGCACCGATGGTCGAACGTAAGTAGCCTATTCATGTCCGCCGATCTTAGGGGCCAGGTTTCGCAACCGTACAGTAAGGTCGAACGTACCGCTGCATTGTACACTCTAGCCTTCAGGGCGAGAGTAATGTCGCGCCGTCGCCATAGGTGGCGAAGGTTAGCAAAAGCACTTCGAGCTTTCGCTATGCGGTTCGTGATCTCGTCTTCGATCCCAAGGGCGCTGATACAACTTCCCAGGTAATTGAATTTCTGAACGACTTCTAGCTGATCCCCACCAAGGGTCAGCACAGGGAGCGAACCCTGCCAATCCTGGAGGAACGCTTTGCACTTCGCTGGTGCAAAGCAAAGCCCGAAGAGACTGACAGCCAGTGCTAATCTGTCCAGCGCGGATGGACACGTCCGGGAGCTGTCACAGATGAGGGCAATGTCGTCTGCATACTCCAAGTCAAGAAGTCGTTCTCCTGGGAGTAGCTCCACACCTTCCAAGTCATGTCCTGTAAATGCAATCTCCATGACTTCGTCAATAGCGAACTTGAATAGGAAAGGTGACAGCGGGCATCCTTGTCTCACACCGCTGGAGATATTGAAGGGTGGCGACAGCCTGCTGTAAGCCCTTACTCTGCCCGTGCTACGCGCATATAATGCTTGGATATTATTTACATATTTCTCGGACACACCTTTCCTGAGTAAAAAATTCCAAAGGGCACATCGATCAACCGAATCGAAGGCACCTTTGATGTCGAGGGACACGACTACGGTGGGCCGCCAATATGTGTGACGGTGCTCCAACAACTGACGCAAGGTGAAGATGTGGTCGATGCAGCCACGACCCCGACGAAACCCGGCTTGCTCCTCACGAATCTGGCTTTCACGAGCGCCAGTCAGTCTGTGAGAATTATGGACGCGAGTAATTTGGAGGCGATGGAGATCAGACTGATTCCTCTATGGTTGCCGCA